GAACAGTACAATAGTTTTAATGAGTACTGTATTACGCATAACTGGGCTCAAAACAGGACCAGCAATGCAAAGAATCAGGTGTTTTGTTGTTATTAATGGAAGGTGAGACTGCAAGAGAACACGAACCACTGTACTGTAAGATGTGTTTTGAAGGAAGACTCTGGGGAAAGAGGGACATCAATGAAGGTGACAATATGGAGACAATATGGCAGCACAAAGGCTGGTAAAGACGAAATATACATCGTCATGATACAGTACAAATGAAAAAAGAGGAGGGGAGATGTTAACAGTAAAGTCTGCTTTTCAAAGGCAACAATCTGATACACCAATGACTCCACAAGGGGGGAGGGGGGAAGCCTAAAAAACTTATACAGTTTTATTTTGTACTTCCTGCAAAGAAGTTAGTGCGCGAGTCACAAGAACCAATGGAGAGACAAAATGCTTATTCTCTCTCCTCTTTGAGATTGGGGGTTCATATATAAATATACACACAGATATATATATATACACACACACATAGACAGATGAATATATATATATGTATATATGTGTGTGTATATACAGAGAAAGATAGACAAAGATGTTATCTTCCTGTGTTCTTGGCAAGGAATTAGTCCTGAAGTTAGAAGGAGTGGAGGTAGGATTGAGGTTGGAAGGAAAGGTAACGAAGAGGGCATACCGCTTTCGGCTTCTGCAAACGACAAGAAAAAAATTGCAAATCAAACACTTGGATAAGAAATCAACTGACACCAAAGCAAAAGCAAAAAAACCCTTTATTTAAAAAGTCTTCAAGGCTCAAAGGTTTTTCTGCTGAGAATGAGAACAGGTATATGAATAGACAAAGAGAAAATTTAACAAGAGGCGTAAACACGGGGTGCAGGAGGGAAGAATCCTGGTTAGGCTTTCCTTCTTGCTTACTCATGTGGAAAAAAAAAAGGCAGGGGGGGAAGGCAAAAATATCTCTAAAAGGGATTTCAGATGAGGAGTTTGAATGTCTGCATTCTGAACTAATATTTTTTACTATCTATTCAGCAAGCTCTGCTGGGACATTTTCAGGTTGATATTCTCCATGTTTCTTTAACATTTTTCCTATGGAAGAAACAAAACCTCTTTACAAATGAACTAGGAAAGACCATTTTCTAAGCTAAAGTATTTGGCCTTCATCAGGCACACAAAAACTTACTTAAGAAGTGCTTCCTGCTCTTAATAACTAATTATAATATTCCCAGATACTAATTAGAGATGAAGGAATGGCTAACTCATATTGTGACCTGTAACTACTGAAGTGCAGACCTTAGTAGCTGGTCAGAAACCCACTAAATTCAGTCATGCTTTGTAAACTTGGAGGTTTCTTTGATAACTGAGCAGTAATTAAAACATTAGTAAATATATAAATGTAAAGGTAAAAAAAAAAAAATCTAATCATGGCTATTTTAATTAATCTTTAAGATACTTTGATGAGAAACAGCTGCCTAAAAAGATAAACATACTCTAAGTACTTTACGCATTATTTGAAAAGGAGTGTGTATTTATCATATCTATGACTACCTTACCTATATTTAGGCCTAAATACTCTTAAATTCTGCTTTTAAGCAATCTTGTAAAATCATAAATTATTTATAATTAACAATCTAATACTGTCAAAACTTGTTAACAAGGTGTGCTTACTGTTTTGTGTAGCTTTATTAGGAATCAGGGAAAAAGGAGAAAAAAAAACAACTGCAAGCAGGAAGCTCAGCTATTGCTAACATGTACATTAATATTAGCTTGGATAGAGTTCTGATGATTTATAATTACTATTTATCTCAAATTCTCTATGGTAGAGTTAAGACAATTTGGCCGTAAATCAGAAAGCTTTAGAAAACCAGCATCTAGGAGACTGTCTGGGGGGGAAAAAAAGGGGATAGGTAAGTAAGTATTTATGCCATTTTACATGTAATGAAGACATTAACAAAGTCAATGAAAATTCTGCTATCAACTTAAAATAGTACTAGGATTTATCCTTAACACTGAGGCGCAAAATTAGAGAGGGGATTAGGAAATCTAGAATGCCCTCACATTACCACTTTTGAGATCTGCACACACTTCTGTATTCACTTTGTGTTGCTTTAGCTCTGAGTGCAAAGTGATGAAGGCAGATGAATCTAACAAAAGGAAACTTCCTAAGTAAAAAATCAGATACATAATTTACTTATATAGGTATTCTATTATGACTAGTAACAAAAATTAAACTGGTGGGAGTAAGATGTTCTCATCCCTTAGGCAGAAAGAATGCTTTGAAAATTTCCTCTGCTCCTGAAAATACTGGTCCTAAACCTGTCTTAGCTATGGTGCGAAATACTAGCTCTTAATAAAAGGGTGCCACCTAGATAATATTCTAAATTTTTATTTATATCTATCATTGTTGCCTTAAATTGTAAACTATGTAAAACCTCTCAATAGTTTTACAAAACATGAATCTAAACTATAATCATAAAATAGATCAGCACATATCTACTGTTGGTCACTCCCATAAAGAGTGAAAGCTAAAAGGGTGCCATAATCAGTTCCCCCCTCACCTTTATGAAGAATTACCAATGAAGAACTTAAGATATGAAGGAGAATAAAACATTTCCAAAGTCAACATCAACAACCATAACTGGCAAATGATAAATTTATCTTGTTCAAAGACAGCTTGCACTTGTAAACCATGTTATTCTAATTTTAATCTTAATTCCCCATCTTTTAATTTAAGAAGATGCAAGGAAATGCAAGTATACCTAAGAAGAGAGAAACTGAAGTTTTGTTCCATTACCTTTCTGCTTATACTAAAAGGCTCCAGCTCAGAAAACCACAAATATGTACTTAACATATTTGGGTTGAAGAGCACAGGAACAAGTAGAACAGTAAAGATAATCCTGCAGGTAGCTCTGTGATTCATTGAACAGTGACTATAAAATTATCACTGGTTAATAAAGTCAGCAGATATTACTGTGGGTCAGGGTTATAAGAAAATGTGAATATCTACCTTACGTGCTCTCCTCTTGTTACATATGTATTCACAAAATTCAGCTGTTAACATCTCTTTGTTAGTATTGTTTCCTGCAATTTTTAGTCTCTTTTTTCTACCAAATTAATTTATTGTGAACTGTTACCTGCATGGCTTTAAGTAAGAAGGAATATATGATTGTATCACATTGTGTTACTTTTTGTGGGATCCTCTGCATCACCTTGTGATTAACAACTCAATCCAACTCCCACTGAAGTTAGTGCAAAGAATGATATGGAAGCCATGAATTATCTGTTATTACTGAAAAAGACTGTAATATTAGCACTTACATAAGTAAATGACAACTGAAGTAATGACAACCTAAAGTTGGGCAATAATTCTTAGGAGAATCAACAGAAACCAAATATTTTCTAACATTGGAAATACAAAATCTGGTAAATAGTTCCACTGCTGTTACTATCGTATTTTTCTTTTTTCTAGGAAAAGATTAAACTGTTCAGAAACAAAAGAATAATAAATCATTTGCTTTAGATTAGCTAATGTGGAATGAGATCATTCAATGGAAAAGTATTTAAGAGCCCATGGAAGCTGGAAACATTAAAAAACCCCTGATATTTAAAAAAAAAAGAAAAGAAAAGGATTTCTTAATCAGCATAGTGCAGAGAAAAATAATATCCAATAGCACATACACCACTTCACATACCACTTTATAACATAGGAAAGAATCAAGCAAAACCAACTATAGGGCATGGAAATACTCTTATAAACAGTTGTAACATTGCATTTTCCATGTCAAATGCCCCACATAGGTTTTAGAGATATTTTTAATACAGAAAAATGACAACATGTAATAATAAACATTAAAATAAACTTTCAAAACCTCAGAAATTGTTGCATGAGCTCAAATGACAGAAATCATAGAATAGAATCATAGAATCATAGAATTGTTTAGGTTGGAAAAGACCTTTAAGATCATCCAGTCCAACCATTAACCTAACATTACCAAGTCCACACTAAACCAAATGGTTCTCCTGTGACGAGAAACAATTGCCCTCAAAAGTTTTAGGTAATTAGTGGCCAAAAATAAGATGAACTAATATGTATCATTCCAGATTTACTACAGTAGTACAGAATATAATTTTTGACAGAGGAAAATAAAATTCAGCTTAGAGTCAGTATTGTCAGACTTGTATTACATGCCCCGCCATATGTTGCAGAGCACATTTATAACATTTTTGTGATACAAAAATGAATGTGGAAAAGCACTGATGGACAAGTTGGTAGAAGACTGACTCCAGTGTTCACTCAGATTTTTATGAATTTTTGTACAAAAAAAATCCCTGCAAGAAACACTTCTTTTCCTGTTTGTGAATCTGTACTACTACTAATGATTTTTTTTTCTTTTTGGTTGAGGAAAGGACTCAGCCAGTTAGTAATTTCAAGGCTAAATTAATCTTTTCCAGTTTCATGATGTTATTCATATATGCAAGTTTTGTCAGAACAGATACCATACAAAACTATGTTAATCCTACATTTCTGTTTATCCTGTATCCTATCTAAATTGGTTCTTCCAAACTCATTTAAATTATATTAATATTTTGAGAATACACATAGCCATAATCAGTTCTGGTATCACATCTGTTTTCCACTTTCTCATTTTCAGTAAAATAAGTTTGACCTCCAATTAAAACTAATAGACTATGAATAAAAACATTGTAAGTTTTTGTTTAAGTAAAAATGAATTGCACTTCTGGAGATGGAACATGTGTATCACTGTCCCCCCACCTTCTACTAAATGTTCTGACTTAAATTGATTTTAGGGAAGAAGAATAGGGCAGAAATAAAAGCCTTTCAGTGCTATGTGAAGTGGTGTAATGTGATGGCATGCTAATTATACTCTGAAATATTTCAAAAATATAAGAACAGCTACGTTCATTCGGAAAAAAAAAAAGCACGCAAAATTCTTAACAGTGCATTCCAGAACGTCAAAATCTGTAGGCATTGGACATACCTGCTTTCTCGTTTTTCCGACTTGTATTCTATGGCTATCATTAAGAGCTTTAGTTTCGCAAACACCAGTCTGCAGGAAGAGAGGAGTCCAAGAGTCAGTCATTTTTCACAACCAAAATCACATATGTAGAGATGGCTGCAGGGTACATATTTTCTTTGAGAACTTACACTAAGATCTTCTCCCATTTTTTTCAGTTAGGTATACACAGAACATATGTTAAGGTCTTTCTATTTTGAAGATAATTAACACATATTTCCTAAAAATATTAACTGACAAGTTGAGAACAGTAGCATAAGCACCAACACTACATTACTAAATCTACTTAAGCAATAGTAACAAAGGTCATGATACACAACATAAAATTGCATTTGGCTAGAGTTGTGGATGTCTTGAGTAAATTTTTCAAATCTTTGCTGGAATTCAGCCACCTATTGAGTGTAGTGTGCATTCCCTATGTATGTGCTGAACTAAAATGAGAGTACACTATTAATAAAGTTGATATTTGCCAGCTACTGTCACAGAGAAACAGCATGATTGGAAGCAATTTCTGACCAGCGTATGGAAAGTACAGTCTGATACTGTAATACACATATTTTCAGTTGTAAAAGTCTGTGCAAGTGGCTATTAAAACAACTCAAAGGTGATAGTCATAAACTTGCAGAACTGTGAGTTAGCACACTATTTGCTTCAAGCTAATACGTTCTCTGAGAATAAACAAAGAAACCAACCATTTAATAACTAGAAACCATTTTCCAATTTTGTCATTGAAGTGTATGCATATTCAATACTCACTTCCTGTTCTATGAATTTGACACAAATTATTCCAGGGCTCACCTTTCAGTTAGATGGCCGCCATCTTTTGTATCATACACTAACTTTTCCAGTGCTCAGTGCTTCTCTACAAACTTCCTTACTTCAGTGTTATTAATATTTTTGCATTTATTTCAAGAATATTTATTTTCTTTAAGCAAATTTAGGCAATATTCTGCATACTCTGCATCAGTCACATACTTAGCAGAAAACAAGGAATTGGCTGGTGAACTGATAATATTCCATTTCTATAATGTTTCAGAAATCACTGTGAACAGTTAATTTCTGCTATTACTTCAGGATAAGAGACTAATTACAGAAAAGCATGGATATAGGGGTTCTGACAATGCTGAGGCAATGTGCTGCATATCATATAGGGATATACACAACAGAATGTACTTTGTATCAAGTTTTGCCATGTAATACTTGAGTATATTTTTTCTTCAAAAATTTTCTTTTTACAGGATTGTAGAAGTACCTCTGTGGTCTCCTTGTCTGGGGACGCAGGTGATATCTCAGTATTGGGAAGTAACATGGAAAGACAGATAGGGGCAAGATTCATTTAACTTTCTTTCAAAATCAATTAAAACTCTTATTCTACCCCCAGAACTCCAGCCAATGTCAGAAATGGACAGACAAAATCCTGATAGTTACTGAATACTTTATTAGCTCATCACCTCCCACAACATTAACAGGTTAATGAAGCCTGACTATCAAAAAAAAGAAAAAGAAAATAATCAATTTTCAAACATATTAATACTAGAGTACCCTATGTGTTGTATTAAGACTATTACATTTCTGTTTTTAAAAAGATGATATAATAACATTAATGAACCGCAAATGTCAAGAGTTCTAAATCTATTTTTTTATTTTGACCACCTACATTCCTTAGGAAACACAGTTAACTTCTCTTCCTCGGTTTTCTAGTATTTGATAATGTGTCTATATCTTCCTAAAAAGAAAAAAAAAACCCAACAAACACAACATAGAGATAAGCACAATGCTACCCTAACAGCTGGCATCACTATCTCATTCGTATTTATAGATTTACTAAAAATATTAAGTGGTGAAATAAAAAGGTTTACATGCATTTGGCTATGCAATTAAACATCAGGATTAATAAGTCTCACTACTTAACTGTATTGTGCAAATGCAGTTTGATATGATTAAAATGAGAAAGATCTTATACCTGATTTTTTTCCCCAGATACATAAAGAACCTTGTAATAAGAAGTTAGAACACTTTGTATCTCCAATTACTATGTAGAAGTCCACAAAAATTGTCAATGACAGTACATAAGGCATTAATTTCTATTTTATTTTCAACTGTCAGCATCATCTGCTAACTACTGATGAACACAGATGGTCATGAACAAAGGGTCTTAAGAATTGGAATCTGACTGTTTCTATCTACCCAGAGAAAAATAAATCGGTTTTGACATTAAATTGTCCTTTACTGGTAAGACTATCATTGGCATAAATTAACCATAGATACCTGCTGTATTATTTGCATGTGAAAGTACTGGGATATTTAGAATTTAAAGAAATTATCATTCTTCTTTCTGAGCAGCAAAACATGAAGATATAACCTTGATTAGTTCTTAATTATTTAATTTTGTACCAAACATTAAAAAAAGGATTTAATTAGAAAATCTACTGGAAGGAAGTTTTGTCTTTTCAAACAGATTTTTTATTGAAATCTGGTACACCATAAATCATTCAATTTTTTTCCTCAGGGTCAGTTATAACGTTTTTTTCTGAATTACTTTGCCAAAGGAATACGTACTTTCCTCAGGAAAGAAAAAGTACTTTCAATCTACTTCCATACTTTGGTTCAGCTGCAGTTAGCAAAAGTATGTTGATATAAGATAAATCACATTGCTACTCACCTAACGAAAAATAATATAGAAAAATATCATTCCTGAAAAAAAAGTAGTATCTTATAGTAGCATCTTAAGCTTAGCAAATTACTTACAATATCAGAATTCTTTCATAAATACATTATTTGTGCATAAAAAATAGTTTTAACAGAAGAAATTGGCAACTGGTGCTTTCTTTGGTACTTGCTAGTACGCTGTGCTCCTTAGAAGTTGGAACTATGAGAATAACAGGTACTGTATTTTCATGGAGCAGCAGTGTCTAAAACCAGTGCAGTCAATGAGGCTTGTATGTTGGAATAGAAATTGCCACAATATATATATAATAACCCAAATATCCCTTTTAAAGGTTTGTTAATGTCATGCTCAGCTAATTTCCAATTGCATGGAACTGGCAAAAGCATGGGCACCTTCTGCTTTCAACCTACAGCTGGATTCTTCCAGATGCTGAGCACTCATGTATTGCTCAGGCAAGGAAAAAAATTTAAGCAAATACTCCAATAGTAGAATTTCACAGAACTATTAAAAGATTTAAAAGTAAGCACTGATGTAAGTGGTTATCTGATCAAGTGTAAAATGATAGGTTCGTTAGCAAGATTTTTGGGGGTCTTGTTAAAATATTTATGTATTTTACAGGTGTCTTACTAGATCATTACATGCACTTCTACCATTGCATTAGAACTGTTGGATCTTTTTAAGTATGCTACAGAAGAGCACATGACAAGAGAAGTTAGAGGAGGAATCAGAAATTAGAGATGCTAAGAAAGCACCGTTGGCTGAAATCTACCACATACGTAGTACAGAAGACACTGGTGGTGTTGCAATGTTAACTGCAACTCCTGGAGTTTTATATAAATTAGGAAGAATTCATTTGCTACCAGTACTGGAAAATTTGCTCAAAAAGTAAGAGTGCTTAACTACTATTACAGTTATTTCCACTTACAATATTGTTTATCTTACATGACTGTTGACTTATTATTTACACCTCAGAAAGATAGCAAAAACTTTGCACGTACTGCAAAAGGATAAGAAACCCTAACAGGCCAGCTCAGAAATATAGAAGAATGAAAAAAATATGGCTGTGCTGCGTCTATGTGTAATCACGCAGATGTTTACTGGATCTGTGATTGCTATATATATCTTACATTGATGTGGAGCAGAAGTAACTCCACCGAAATAACGGAACCATTAGCTTAATGAAAAGTGAACAATGCCAGTGAGGCGTTTAGTTTACTAGACATGCTTTAGCTAAGTGGGCAGTTCCATGTCAGATTAGAAGCTTAACCAAAATCTCAGCTGTGAAGAGACACAGAGATGCTACATATTCAAGGTATGTTTTCTGGTCTAATCCCATCTGACCAATAAAACAAAACACAACTAAATTTTATATTTTGCAAGTTATGAATCACTGGCTACAAAGCAAGACTCATTGCCAGGTTCAGTGCATGAAAAACATTGTTCACTTACTGCCAAAACATTGAAGAATGTACTTTTTAATTTCTTTAGTCAGTCAGGAACAAATAGATGTATCAGAGAGAGATTTGAAACTGATGAAAAGTATTCCATACAAACAATGCCTAATGCACCTGCAGGGCAACAATTTAAATGTACTTTAGTACTTCAAGTAAACATTTCCCTGATGCATCTGGATACAATATTTTTGAGCAAAGTTTTGAACTCTCTTCTTTTGCTTTGTTAAATCATGATATGAGGCTACTTTATCTTTGAAGGCTCATCATGGGAAGTATCTGGAAAAGGTTCTTGTCTCCCCTGTCTTTAAATGATCTCCTGGTTGAAGTTTACAATAGATTAGTTTCCTGTCTCCAACAGGGTAAAAG